AGTAGCATCCCACCTGCTGCCGTGGTCATAGATGTAGCCTGGACTTTATGTAAATTTCAAGTTCTCATTTAATCCTACAACTGTTATATGAAAATACCATTCAAATGTGCCAGAACCAAATGCAATTTCCTAAACCCCCAAAGCAAGGAATGTAGGGTTGTGTGTGTGTATGTGTACGTTTTAATCAACTCAACACTAGATGGCTCTAGTTACAAAACCAATACATTTTCAAAAACCTAAAACCCTGGGAAATGACACTGAAAACAGATGGATTCTAACCCACTGAATCAAATTCTATTTTCCAAAGTCTTGTAAGCATTGAGAATAGCATTGAGCACTTAGGTTTGAAACATTATAAATATCCAAAAGAGCAGGCTTAGATCCTAGAAGTCCTGATTTCACAGATGGAAACAAAAAGTTGCACTGATACAATCTCAAAGGATGTAGCTTTAATCTGCTCTGTGATTATTACGCTCTGGCATCACACAGTACTCTATTATTTGGGGGTCATTTTTACATATACCAATTTGCTTGACCCACCCAGTAATGAGTGAGGTAGATAAGAGAGGTAGATACTTTCCTCATGAAAGGGGAAGACACTGAGACTCAGACAAGGTGCAAAAACTTGCTCAAGGTCAAGTAGCTCATACATAATAATGTTTGGGCTGGGATCCCAAAGTCCTGACTCCTGGGTCAGAGTCCTTTATACACAATAGTCAAGAAGAGAATAAGACTTTTCATGGACACAATGTATCTGACCTGACCTTTGCATTCTTTAGAATACTCTCTTATAGTTAATTAAGCATCCCCACCCACCAAATACACAAAAACTGAAAGTTGCATTCCAGGAAAGTGAAACCAATGAAGAGAAGGATGGTTACAGGGAGGGATGCTTCTTAAATCTGGTAATCTTTGGCTTTGATTACATTTTGGGTTTTGTTTTTTAAGCTTAATGTCAAAAATCAATGATTTTTACCTGAATGTAGTTTGATAGTAAATCCACATGCCAGATAATTCACACTGAATGACTGATGATGGCTACCCTTTAATGAGCATTTACTGTGGACCTGGGAGAACCCACTTCATAAGCCTCTCCCCTTTTTGAATATTCCCTTCTCAGCAAATAGCACCACTACCCAGACAATTGCTGCAGCCAGTAATTTTGAAGGCCCCCTTCAGATGTCATGTTCCCTCAGTCCCCAGATCTGCTTGATGGTTTCCTTCCTCTACATTTCAGGGAACCTCATCTACTTTTCTCTATTCTCAGCCACCAGCCTCATTATAGCCACCATCACCCGCCACCTTCCCTCTGACTGGTCGCTCTAAGATGCTTTGCTTTGCTCAAGTCCAAATCACAAAAGTATTTGAATATGTACATGAACAAAATATTAATAATTCAAAGACAGCTTCTCCCCCCCAAAAGAGGGGAAGGAATGTTATACCCTGGCAATTTTTCTCCTCACTACACCCAGAAAATCCACAAACATCTCATGTGACCTGCCCGTGCCTGCAGGACCCTGGGCATGGCCTCAGCGCTGCCACCTGCTCCAGTCGTGTCCTTCTCATTTTCCTATTTGCTTCTCACTGAAACTGGCTTTTCGTTATTTGAACGTGCCCAGCCCACTCCAACTGAGAGCATGCACAGGTGCTGTTTCCGCGGACTAGAAGGCCCACCTCCCACCCACATGTTCTACAGGTCTCAGTTTAGCTATCCTGTATTCCGGAAGCCTTTCCTCAACCACTCCCCACTCCCGCCCAGCCCTACACCAGGTTAGACCCCTGTGTTTCACCTTCTCTTGAGCAACCTTTACTTCTCCTTAACACCTATTACGACTGGAACTAATCATCTGGGGGTTTGTTAATGTGTGTGCTTTCTGTCTGGTCTGTTAACCACTAAATCCCTAAAGATCAGTGGAGGGTTTTGCAAACTTTTGAAAATGTGGTCTACAATAAAAAGTATATTTAACGTCATAACCAGTACACAGACATACATAGAACTGAAGAAAAATTTTCATGAACAATATTCACCCTTTCCAGCTGCAATCCACTTAATATTTTCTATTTTATTTTTAGTACGTTGGATACAACCCACTTTAATGCTTCCATGGCCTACTTATGGGCTCAACTCTCATTTTAAATAAATACCTTTCTAATTCAACACAGTAGAGAGAAGGTCCTTAGTAGGTTTTTGTATTAGTAAATTAATGTTTATCAGCCATTATCTAAACAGGGTTTGTTTTACAAAATAAAAGCAAGCCTTGCCATCCTGGGCACAGTTAGCTCCCTTGATCAGACTGACGAGATCAAGGTTATAAATTTGATCTCATTTCGATCGGTTGCCTTCTGTGTCTCAGTGTGACAGGCTGTTGCTGGGGGGAGGGAGGATTCAAGTCCCTGAGCAGAAGGCTGACCTATTATTAGTTTTATTTCTGATCAACATATCCATGTCACTGAAACACAGTGGTTTAGAAAATAAAAACCAATAACCTAATAATATCACCAAATTCATTACTACCACTGGCTTTCAGGAGTAATTATCTGAGTTGTCCTACCTGGATTGTCAGATTTTCATTTAATGGGACTATGGTCTTTTTGAATGCGAGGACCCACCAAATAAGCTGATATATTTTTTATAACTGGCTGCTATAGACTGAATATTTGTGTTCCTTAAAGTTCATTTGTGGAAACCTAATCTCCAGTGTGATGGTATTTGGATATTGGTCTTTTTGGAGGTAATTAGGGTAAGATTAGGTCATGAGAGGGGGACCTCAAGATGGCATTAATAATGGTTTTTCAAAAGGAAGAGACAAGATCATTCTGTGTGTGTGTGTGTGTGTGTGTGTGTGTACGTACCAAGGGAGGTCACATGAGGACATAACCAGGAAGGGGACACTGCTTGTACCCTGATTTTGGACTTCTAGTCTCCAAAACTGTAGGTAACAAGTGCTTGTCGCTGAAGTCACACAGTCTATGGTACTTCATGACAGTAACCTAAACTGACTGAGACCCTAGTTAACATAATTCATGCTTTGCTATTTCTGGCAGATACCTAAAATTCCTCGCTTTCCTTTCTGTATCTCCATTTATCATCATCTAACACCTACCACACAAAACCTTTTCAGAACTATCAGTCTTACAATATCAACTTTTTCTGTTAGACCATGCAAACTCAAGTTAAGAATTCCACACCCATTTGGAAACCACATAAGAGAAACTGAGCTTTCACTAGGAAACCCAGTAAGCCTGCTTGGTGAGGGGACACATTCCCAAGGAGAAGGTAAAGGGTGGTATCCTTCATTTAGCTATCTAGCTGGTGGGTATGAAAGTTTCCATTACATCCAACTGGAGGGGCACAATTCCAGAGTACAACAATTATTCCTGGAGTGTTCTTTCATTAAACTCTGTCGTGCCTTGCCTTGAGAACACGGGGTAAGTCAGGGCTCCCTCGTGTGTGAGAGCTGAGAACTGCAGGCAGAAGCGTATCTTTTATGTCTTCTATTACCTGTTCGTGGATGTGCTTCATTGACGTAGTTTCCGTTGTATGATACATAAAAATGTTTTCTGAATGGTTGGTTCCTAGTAAATTAGACTCCTCTTACTAGAACTGAAGCCAAGTGAAGGGCATCCTTTCATTCTAGTTTTGGAACCTGTCATTTGCAAAACCTTTAAACCAAAATTTACTCAAAATTAGGAGAGTTTTTGTTTCTTCTTCCTTTTTTTAAAGGGGGCTTTCTCACCTTTAGTGACTTATTCTATACATTCAAGCTCTTACCAGACAGCTTGAATGTAGAGTATGTAGTTTCAAAATGCCACTGTTCTATTCTGCAAGCACAATTCCCCCTGCGATGTCAGACCATGAACGAAAGCACAGGCTGTGAGGTCACCCAGAGTGTGGCCAAGTACTGTGCTTTCCCTAAGCTGGCTCCCTCTTCAAATCTGAATGAGCGGCTTGTATGAAAAAAGTACATTAATTGCTAAATCATGCAGGAAGCCCAAGGGCCCATTGACCCACAAATGGATCAATAATTGTGGTATATGTACACCATGGAATATTATGCAGCCTTAAGGAAAGATGGAGACTTTGCCTCCTTCATGTTTACATGGATGGAGCTGGAACATATTCTTCTTAGCAAAGTATCTCAGGAATGGAAGAAAAAGTATCCAATGTACACAGCCCTACTATGAAACTAATTTATAGATTTCATACGAAAGCTATAGCCCAATTATAGCCCAAGAATATGGCGATGGGGGAGAGGGCAGGATGGGTGGTGGGAGGGTGATTGGTGGGACCACACCTATGGTCCATCTTACAAGGGTACATGTGAATCTTTCTAAATGCAGAATATAAATGTCTTAACACGATAACTAAGAAAATGCCATGAAGGCTATGTTAACCAGTTTGGTGAAAATATTTCAAATGGTATATAAAACCAGCACGCTGTACCCCATGACTGCATTAATGTACACAGCTATGATTTAATATAAATAAATAAATAAAAGAAGTATGTTCTCTCCAATGTGGCCTGGCCTAAATCTACCTACTTTATTATATAAATGCCTTGTGTATTTCCAGTTTGTAAGCCATCATTTATCTGCACACTTGACCTGCAAAAAGTGATATAAAAAACATAAAACAAAGAAATACTCTTCTAAATTACCTTAGGCATAATACCATGTTGGAATAGGAAACAAAAAAGATAGAAACTAAGGTTAAAATAAAGTTTAGTTACCCAAATTACAATGAGTTCTACTTCTTAATATACTTTATAATTTAATAAAATAGCCTCAAAATAATATTGTAGGTAGCTCAACGATTTTTAATGTAAAATTTATTTTAATTTTATAAACAAATGACAAGGATAGTTTTTTAGATTTTGTCTGGGCTATAGTGACCCAATTCTCTGGTCAAAGGGCTGCATGGATGTGAGAGACAGGGCGAGTTAAAGTTTAACTCCCAGGAATTGTAAACCAAGCCTAAAGCCGCTGAACCTTTGGAGTTTGATATGATGATTAGAGCATAACCAGAGTGACACGTTGAATTCGCCATAATCAAGGAAACCTTTTCCGGGTGGGGATCTCTGAAATTACTCAGGTACGATGTGTGTGTCTTGCTTTTTCTATTTCTATTCTGAGAAACTGTGCATTATGGTATCGGCGTGAGTGCCGTGGGAACAGCTTTTGCCCTCTTTTATTGCAAGTCTAATCCAGGGAATTGTCTAGTTTGTTTCTATACTAATAAAATAACCGTAAAACAAAAGAATACATTGGAATAATCCTACAATCTTAAAACAGAATGGCTGCCACAATTTAATAAATTTCTATACATGAACCCCTGCAGGTTCAACAGCGGGGTTCTGAGAAGTTTCTTGAGCTCTAATCGGACAGCAGGGAGACTCATGGTTGCCTGCCTGCTCTGGTCTTTGGACATTGGGAAACGAAATTGCAATTAGCATGAAAAACAGTATTAATATCACTGGTAGATTTTGAGTTCTCTGTAAGGATCATATTTTGGGTTTCAGATATTCAATTATCTCTTGTACTATTACCCCCATTAAAAAAAAAAGCCTTGGTAAATGCTTATTATTTCCTCTGTCATTATCCTGCTGTCCAAAGGAATGCCCTCAGCTATTCATTTTTGATGTAGTGAAAAAGAAAAGAAAAAAAGTTATGGAAAATAACTGGCTTTGCGCGTGTTAAATCTTAATCTTGGAGTAGCTCATTATGAGATTGCTTCCACAGTTTGGGTAACTGTCCTGCAGTGGACATCTTTTCAGGTTATCATTTTACTTCCAAAAAAATAGTCACAGCCAGGAGGCAGTGGTATTTTACCTAAGGAAAGAAATTCGAATGGGGCATTTATCAGGAATATCCTGTTTCTACCAGAAATCTCCTAAACTCTTTGACTTTTGATCATAATTACCAAAGTAAGATCCAAGGAAAATGAGTTCCAAGTTAAAGGAGTTTCTTCACTATAGGACGTTTCACATGTATGTTGCGTGTCTCCAAAAATACAAAGAGCACAGCTCAATTTGCACACTGTATAGAATTAGTGTTTTACAAAACATATTTTGCTCACTTCTATTTATAAAAATGTGTTGGTTTGGTCTGAAACCCTCTCTCTAGCCTGTGCTGAGGAGTACGCGATGGGAGGATAGGTCTGGAGGTAACAGTGGATTTGCTTAGTTGTCAAAGCGATGAGGCTTTGCTCTGCTAAATACAGAGAAGAGGCAAATGACTTCCAAGGGTCATGGAGGAGAGAGAGGTTTTCTGGAGTCACACGGCCCATTTTGGACAATTCTTACCTCTCACTGTTCCAACTTATTGTGTATTAAATATAAGGGAAGAAAGAAGATAATTGGCAAGGAAAAGAAATGTTATGAAAAAACAATATAAAACGGCATAATGGATAAGAAAACACTAAAAGTTATTATTTTCACTTGGGCTAGTTCCAGGGTGGTTTCACATCATTTCACATCAACCTTGCCTACACGGCTACATTGTATTGGGGGGAGGTTAGTAAATGGGGCTCCCTTGAAGAAGCGACTCCATTGCAAGTCAGTTGAGGAAGTGGTGTTACCAAAAAAAGTCAGGGCGGTTTTTATTACCACGTGAGTGAGACGTTTATGACACTGTACTGTTAAGTGTCCTTCTAAGCACCTTCCATGCGTTTATCTCATGGCATTCTTAGAACAACCCTGTTTGAACATTTTCTAAATGAGAAAACCAAGCCACAGACAAGTTACCGATCAGGTTCCACATCACGGGGCAGAGCCAGGTTCCCCAGTCGGGTGTGTGACTCCAGAGCCCACGCGTGTAACTGCTGTGTCACACTCAGAAGTACCGAGGGCTTCATGTGGGCAAAGATTCTCATTCATCGGGAATATCTCAGAGAGTAGGCAATGCTTTGTTTTCTAAGCTTAATTTACAACAGAGCACCTATAAACATCTCTTAAGATCGGTGTTCCTCAGAACACAGATTAGGAAAGAACGAATCATTTTTATAGCCCACCTCCAGGTTTTATAACAAACAAAATCTATTGAAATTGTCACAATTAAAATTAGCACAATTTAAACATCTAAGGGACCTCATTATAATCTCGTCATCTTTCATTAACTGTGACAATGCCTATTTTTGGACACTTTAAAGATAAATTATAGAAAGAGCCCTGGGCTTTTCTTCCCCTGGACAGAAGTAGGCTGGAGAGTCTATTCCGAAACTCCCTGGGTGTCTGACCTTTGGAATACTGTTTGACCTCCCTGAATCTCAGGCTCCTCCAAGGTGAAATGGGGGTAAAATCGGACCCAGAGAATTTCGTGAATGTTAAATAGATGATAAGGCAAAATAGTTAAGCATAATCCTCAGTGCTTAGGGATTCAGCAAAAACTTTCTCCCCTTTTCATTTCCCTATGTGTAACAACCTCCAGAAAAATCTAAAACTGTCCACACTTATTCATTACCTCTCTTTGTCAAAATAATACTAATAAAATTTAAATTGAAAACTATTCATAAATAATGAAATGTTTACATAGTAACCCTATCCTGTTGACTCACAGAAAGACAACCTATAATTCTTTTTAGTGTTAAAATCCCTACAGAGCATACATTTATTGTAGAGAATATAGCTCAAGAAAACTCCTAATTTAAAAAGCCCAACATCCTTTGCACTCAAACCCATGGAATGCCTTGATACGATGTATCTTCATTTTATTACATAATCAGTTGATGTTGAAAATCTGTTTCAGTAACTGTCATTTAAAATCTTATCATCTTTAAAAATCTGGGTAGGACTTTGGGTACTATTGCACAATGGTTTTCATTATTTTGTGTGTCTCTAAATGACTCAATAAGTTCAAACAAGGCAGTATTGATCGACAGAGGATAAACACCATTTTATCTTATTCACAGAAACAGTAACCAGGCACCTCTAAAGTGTAGCTCTAACAGTCCAAACTCCCCGGGGAAAAGCATCTGGGAAGGGAACGGTGCTCTTGCAGCGACAGTCTACGTAAGAAATCTCAATTGCATCTGCTTCTTGACCTGATGCTATAAAATCAGGCAGGTATTATTAACAAATCTTTACTGCCAATTAGATCGGGGAAGCTAATCAATCATTTTATTCCATCAAACCTATTTTGACTAGGTTATCAGCTCTAAATCTTCATTGAGTTCCAAATTCTTAACTCACTAAACTAAAAATTGTATGGAATATTCTTGATCGCTAGGAACCCCCAAATTTAAAATATTTCCTTTCATAAGAAACGGTTATCTTGATTAAAAGAAGCAGAACATCCTGAGATCTCTGATGTGATTTCTTTGTAAGCTATGTAAGATATGCTTCCCCTCCCCCATACAAATATGTAGGAGGAATTTTTATGCATTTAGGTCTTAACAATCAGATGGAGAACATTTTCCAGGTTTGTTTATTCCAATAGGGATTGGTCTCTGGTAATATTAAAAAGAGAGTAGTAGTAAGAAAATAAGCTAATTCCCTGTAGATGGCCCAGTCACGCACAGCGCTCTGCTCCAGCCATAATACGACTAAAGAGAATTAGCAGACGACAATCTGGCCAGACAGAATGTCTAAGTGAGCAAATTGGTTTCTAATTCCATAAAATCCCACCTGCAATGATGTTGTAATGTCTTCCCTTCCTCTAGCAATTAAAAAATAATCATTGTTTTGGGAGGCCCAACTGATTTAATGTACACTAGATGTAAGCAGCAGAATTAACTACTCTAGTGCCTTATTTCCATAGAAGATTCTAGTTTAGAAAAGCATTGGAGAGAGAAGAATTTATATGGATTTTTTTTAAATGCTGAATTTCTTCACAGCCAATTCAGTACACTTAGTTTCTTAATGGTAATTAAGTCATTCATTTATCATTCCAGTTGTACAAAGCCAGTTACTGGAAAGATGCCCCACCTAAAATTTATAAGCTCAGCCCTGTTTATGTGGTATAGTGAGCTGATGAGGTGATGGGGCTTCAACAAAGAGAGAGGACACAGGGTCCACACGAGGGTGAGAGGACAACCGGCCCTATACACACCCCAGAAGAAAATAGCCCTAAACAGATTTAATTATAAATTAGTCCAGATGCTGTAATTAACAACGTGAAGGAAGTGAAAGAATGGAGGGTTATAAACTCTCCTAACAGATTGCCCGGGACTGGCAAAGCTTTATGTGCAAATGCAATTGTTTTTTTATCTCTAGTAATTTTAGATTCTCCTATCCAGCTCTTTTATTGGGATGCTGTTTAGTGCTTATCTTTTCAGCTGGGGTGTTCAGCATGGAGCAAATTGGCTTATTAGATATAGACACTAAGGCCTCTGATGATTAGCAGGGGAACTCAGAAACCACAATCTAATACCACGGGGGAGAGGGGCACTGCCTTGACATATATAGATGCCCATCTCAAAAATCCTGTAATCCTTTTTCCTGGAAATCCCTAACAGTGCCTTATATTCAGGGAGCACTCACTACTGGCCAATTAGATTTAGTGTCCTAAGATGATACTATTGGTGATATTAATGATAGCTCTTAATCCCCATGCAGATCCTGCCACATGCCAGGCACATAGATGAACTCGTTCAATCCTCCATGACCCTATGAAATAGGTCACAGCTATGCCATTTTCCCAGTGAAGTAATTGAGGCTGAGGGTTCTGGAGAACTTGCCCAAGCCACTATAGACACATCTAAGGGAAAAATAACAGGGAGAAACTTCCCAAGTCACACAGATAGTAAGTCCTGGAAGCAGGAGTGAGTCCCAGGGACACGGTCCCTCAAAGAAAGGATGAATAATGGCTGAGCAGCATTGACTCTTGGAACTAGAAGGAAACTTCGAGATCCTTTATTTGACATAGAAAAGCTACTTGAGTTTCCCAAAGATAGATGACTTCCTTTTGTTAGAGTGAGAACCCAAATAGAAAGCCCCCCGCCCAGAGGGCCCCTGTCTGCTAACAGTGCCCCTCCTCTCAGCGCACAATGTCTCTAACTCAGCTGGATTCTTTGTTTGGGAGACCAATGAGAAGGACCACCATGGTAGAAAGGAATACTCCTTTCACAAGGAACCCCACCCTTCTTGCCACACCCAG